TAAGCAAAAAATAATCGAGCATTTTGCCGATAGCGAACAGCGGCGACTCAACCGGGTACTCTCGGAGCTACCTCTTGGCGACAAGAAGCCGTCCGAGCTTTTCTTCGAGATGAGGCGCGTCGCAGGCAATACTCTTGGTGATGCTGCTCTCAAAAGCCTCTGGATTAAGCGTTTACCAGAGTTCGCGCAGCCAGTAGTAGCAGCTTCGTCTGGCTCAGCCGCGGAGTACACGAAGATAGCCGACACCATAATAGACGCCATCGCACCTCAGCAGCTCAATCGCGTTAAGTCAACACCCTCCAGCGAGATTCATGAATTACGCGCTGTTGTTATGGAACTTGGCAAAAAATTCGACAAGCTCACAACTCGCTCACGCTCGCAAAGTCGTAGGCGAACAAACATACGACAGAATTCAAACGCTCGCGACAGCTCTAAAGGGGTTACATCATCGCGAGAATCATCTTCAGCCCGGGACTGTTGGTATCATCTAAAATACGGCCGAGATGCTAAGAAATGCCGCAGTCCTTGCCGCCAGAGCTAACGTGCTCTTCGAGCGGTATCGTCCGAACCATCATCGCGTGGCGGATTGCAACGAGGATCCCGTCACAGAGCGCAAAGTACTTCGTCTGCAGGTGCACGAACGACATACAGGCAAAACATTTCTCGTCGACACTGGTGCCGACGTGTCGGTGGTACCCATTACTGCAAAGCCCTATGACATTCGACCAACCGCAACAAAACTCTACGCTGCCAATGGTTCCGCCATCAAAGTCGTCGGAGAGAAACGAATCAACTTGGACTTGGGCCNTACCCATCACTGCAAAGCCCTATGACATTCGACCAACCGCAACAAAACTCTACGCTGCCAATGGTTCCGCCATCAAAGTCGTCGGAGAGAAACGAATCAACTTGGACTTGGGCCTTCGTCGGGATTTCTCGTGGTCCTTCATAGTTGCCGATGTCACAACCCCGATAATCGGCACGGACTTTATTCGCTTTTACGATTTGCTGATCGACTTGCGTCGTAACCGAATCATCGACAACCTCACGAAACTTCGATCATCTTTGACTGCGCCAACGCTATGCAAGGCAACCGAAATCAAAACATTCGACTCCACCGACCCGTTCGCCGATCTGTTGTCCGAGTTCTCGGAGATCACGAAGCTAGCGCCTCATCGTTCCCTGACAAAATCGACGGTCGTCCACCGCATTTTANTCGGTGCTACCCATCACTGCAAAGCCCTATGACATTCGACCAACCGCAACAAAACTCTACGCTGCCAATGGTTCCGCCATCAAAGTCGTCGGAGAGAAACGAATCAACTTGGACTTGGGCCTTCGTCGGGATTTCTCGTGGTCCTTCATAGTTGCCGATGTCACAACCCCGATAATCGGCGCGGACTTTATTCGCTTTTACGATTTGCTTATCGACTTGCGTCGTAACCGAATCATCGACAACCTCACGAAACTTCGATCATCTTTGACTGCGCCAACGCTATGCAAGGCAACCCAAATCAAAACATTCGACTCCACCGACCCGTTCGCCGATCTGTTGTCCGAGTTTTCGGAGATCACGAAGCTGGCGCCTCATGGTTCCCTGACAAAATCGACGGTCGTCCACCGCATTTTAACAACGGGCCAGCCAGTGTTTTCTAGACCACGACGTCTTGCGCCCGAGAAACTGACAGCTGCACGTAACGAGTTCAACTTTTTACTTAAGGCGGGCATGTGTCGACCGTCCAGCAGCAACTGGTCAAGCCCGTTGCATATGGCGACGAAAAGCGATGGCACCTGGAGGCCATGCGGGGACTACCGCGCACTCAATGCGCGAACGTTGCCTGACCGATACCCCTTTGCCGTATCTAACCGACTTCACGGCGAATTTACAAGGCAAGGTTTTCAAAAATCGAACTCCAACGTGCGTTCCACCAAGTACCCATCCACGAGGATGATATAGCTAAAACGGCAATCACGACGCCATTTGGGATGTTCGAGTTTAGGTTTATGACCTTCGGCCTCTGCAACGCTGCGCAGACATTTCAAAGGCTCATAAATGAAGTTTTGCGGGGCCTAGATCATACGTTTCCCTATATCGATGACATTTGTATAGCTTCGCCGTCGGTCGAGCAGCACAAGCAAGATTTACGCGAAGTTTNCTTCGCCGTCGGTCGAGCAGCACAAGCAAGATTTACGCGAAGTTTTCAAGCGCCTCCGGGACAATAATCTGGCAATAAACGTTTCCAAATGCGAGTTTGGTAAGAGCGAGTTGAAGTTTTTGGGGCACCTGGTCGACGCTAGAGGCATACGTCCTCTACCTGAGAGGATAGCAGCGATTCGCGATTTTCCGAAGCCCACAGTAGCAAAAGAGCTGAAGAGCTTCATCGCCATGGTAAACTTCTACCGAAAATTCCTACCGAACGCTATCGAGTACCGGTCGCACCTTCAACAGCTAATTACGGGCAATAAGAAGAACGACCGTACAATTTTCG